AAATTACTGTAGTCAGGATATACCTTGAGGAATCTTCTGCCTAATCTGCCAAGAATTGTCAAGTTACCCCATGCAGAGTGGAGTCATAGTATGGAACAATGACTAAACCTTATCTGCCAACAAGGAAAGGCAGTGGGGGAACGCTGTGTCATGATAATAGCTCAACTGTCACTGCTGATGTCAGAGTTGTCTCCCTCAGAGTGGGTCTTTCCAACTGGCTAAGGGCTCCTGCAGTAACAAGCATTAATAACTCCTGAAGGCAGATGATGTGGAACAGAAGTCACCTTCCAAAACACCCTACAGATGCTCTCACCTTCTTAAGTGTGAAGGGCTGCTCTGCACTGTATCATCCTACTGGGCATTTGACTGTTACCCTGGCCATATCACTATGCAGTAACATTTTTGGGGCAGGCAAGAGTAGAGTGCTTTAGATGCATCAGGCACACAGAACCAAGTGATGTGGAGCAGTCTACTTTGTGGTAGTTAAATGCTGCATCTTGGATAGCACCAAACATGATTCACAAGTAAGGAGATTTTAAGTCTTGTGTTGTTCACATTGCAGAAAAACTTTTCAAATCTGTTTGATTTCTTTAGGCTAGAATTAAAATTGTTGCTGCAGTGACAAGCACTGTCACTCTTGACACTGCTTAGAAATAGGGAATAGTCAGTGTTCAATGTGATGTTGAACAGCTGTTTCTCAGACAACAATGTGATGCAGACATGACTGGATTACACATTTGCTACACCGCTGATGGACTCCCTAGTAGAACTCTGCAAATGGTTTTATCTTGGACAAAATAAAGGGGCTGACTGTAGGACACCCAGCTTTGTCAGTGTTCTGGGACTTGCTCTTGATCTGTGCATTTGTTAGGGGTTTTTGGAGAGCAAGTAGATGGTATGCTTCTGGCAATTTTCACTTATTAAGGATCTTTACTGTAGGTGAGCTTAAATGCTAGCAGAAATAGCTGAAATAACTAGGAGCTTATATTGGAAGTTAATAATAATCTTAGTGCAGTGGCATGCTGCTCTCAGGGACTGGGCCCAGCATTAAAATGGGTGCATCAGTCCACTTGCAAGTCCAGACAAAAGAAACCATAGCCACAAGACAGCAGTTGTTAGAAGAGCAGCAGAATAGGTTGGACAATACTGGAAGAGAGCACAAATGGGAAACATAAAGTGGGTCTGAGAAAGGAATGAATTGTGCTAGGCTGAACCTTGAAGTCAGCTGAATAGTTGTTTGTGGTTTAAGTGCAGGCATAGGCTTCAATAACTGAATGAGAGAGTGGACGATTGGCCCATTCATGCAGTACGCTGTCTCTTACCTGTAGGTAATAGTGCTGAAATACTCCCTAATGTCATTCACACTCAGAGTTTCTACCATTACTCCAGAGAGGATAATAGAAGAATAGATCCAGGATCATCATCTCTCTGCTCAGTAGCATTCCAAGTACTTTCAGGTCAAAAAAGAATGTAAATTTGTACATATATTGAAGTTTTTATGGAGATGGTGTTAAGTGAGAAAGAGCAGGGAAGCTTGGTTTTAGATTCAAAGCTCTGGAGAATGTCAGTACCAAAAACAATCTAGTACAATAATGTCAGGAAAATCAATCCACAAACACCAGAAGTTTATGTCCAAAAAGGAGACAGAGGAGTCCCTTTACTTTATTCGAATAAAGGGAGAGGCCATGGGGCATTCCCCTGGGGTCTCTCAAACTTTTGGAGGGAGCAGCCTCCTTTTTATCGTAATTCTCGGCCGCTTGTCCCTTCTCTCTTTCCCCATAGGCTGAGGTACTTGAGAGGTACAGACTTCCCGGAATGCCTGATACCTGAGACCACCCACCCCCAATGCATAATCCCCTTCTTAATTCTTAACTCTTGTGGAATTCATGGTGCTCTCTCAGTGCCTCTTTCATCTTCCAGTGGAATCTATCCCATTGTTTCTGTCGTCTCTCACTGATAGCTGCATCTTATCAGCAGACCCGCAGCTTGTTTGTAAATACAATCCCATCATTCCTCTCAATAATGAGAGGTTCATAAATGGTTTCTCTGAAGCATTGACCCTTTCACAGGATAAGTATTACAGATATTACATACCTGTGTCAGCATGAGAAGATATTATCTGCTTTGAAGTGGAATTGGATGCCAAGTTTAACAGAACTTCCTCACAAGGACTGCTAATTTGGTTAGATGTTATTTACAGCAAAATTAGGTTATATAAGGAGATAGGCTGATTAATCCAATGGAAGCAGGTTAACAGGAAGCTGCTAACCCAGGTAACATTAAAGTGGGTGTTTCAGTACTTTCAGTACCACTGAAGGTTTTACCATGGTAAATTTAGTAGGTCCTTGTTTTTTGGGTTTGATTTCTGCCTCTAGCTGTGTTTATAATTCCATGTTACATAAGCATATCTTGTTAATCTTTAAATAAAATGAGTGTGTAATAGAAGGGAAAAATGAGTTTACAGAGAACACATTTTCATCATTATGTCCTTCAATGTCTATTTTTAGCTGGGTAGCTAAAAATTTTAACACTCCTTTCCTTTCGTAACCAAAAGGCACCCCTCTCATTCTTTTTTATGCAAATTAGGCCTCCCACACTGTTAAATCATTTTTATTGACTATTGGGACTGCAAAGAAACTGACTGAACTTTAATATCCTACATTGCCATACCATAAAATACAATTTGTAGTTCTTATTTAGATTCTGTGTTGCTGCACTTACTCTAAATATTTTTATTATTACTGAAGTTGTTACTGAAGAAGATTTACAGGCATCAATAGAAAAAATAAGTACTCTCTATTTTGCATGCATTGAAACACTGTCTGTGCATGATTTCACATCTAAACCCACCTGCTCCCAGTTTTGTTCTGAAATGAAACAAGTCACATGGTCCTCTTAGTTGCTAGTAGAGCTTTTAGTATGGCAGTATCGGAAACTTCAGCTGACTTTAAATAGTGCCAGGATTTTACCCCTTCTTTTGTGCTGCTAAGTTTGTGCAAACTGAAAGCATGGAGTGTTCATCTTCAGGCTGTGAATTGTTGCTTTGTACATCTCCAGTCTCATTAATGCCACATGCATGGAAAATGCTCTGTTCCTTGGAAGCGCAAGAAAAATACTCTTCTCCCACCAATTTTTGCATAAGGCTGTGCACATACTCATCTTGACAAGGTACACAGCTTTTATTACAGATAGCTTCAGCCTCTTGTAGCCAAGGGAAGGGATGCATGCAGAGATTTTATGATTAACCAGAAAGAAATGCATATGAGTCATTCTGAAAGAGTATAACTCTTCTGAAGGAACTAATACTTTGCTCGTGTTGACAGCCTCGGAGAATGACATATATCTTGTATCACAGCCTAGGGATGGCTGAGAAATATTCAAGCATTTTCTCAACAGTGTTTCACCCTCTTCCAGCAGGGTCACCTCAGAAGTGGAAGGGTGTTCAGCCATGCTGTCACTTCACTACCATATCATTTTTGGTATGCCAGTGGAAATGCCATTTGTGATCCCAGTCTCATGTCAGGCCAAGGTGGAGCCTTCCCGTGGTCAGGAAAGGGACTGCCCTTGAGATACTTCCATGCTCACCTTTCGCAAGCTCCACATCACCATGCCAAGTCCCCATGGTCATCTGGGTCTCTTAGTGTTTTGAAATAGCAGACTTTCAAAGCTATTAAAGAGGAATTTTCACTCTAATTTCTCCCCTCACAGAAACTTCCAGACAATACTGACTGCCTTAAAAAGTCAGGACATTTAAGGCTGTGTCTAATTTCAGAACAGTTTCTCTAAATCTGGGGCCTGAATTAGTAATTTTGAATTGGACTCTTGAACTGTCAATACTTACTGCATGACATCAGTCAAAAAAAAAAAAAAAGAGACACTGAGTTTTTGCAGTGAGAACATGTAGAGTACAGGTTATGGATCAAAGAGAAATGCCTGCTGTATAGAGATAATTATTTTACCCACATACATACTTACGTATGTGTGTATATGTCTGTATATAAAAACAGTTTCCCTTTTCAATTACATGTGGCAGTGAAAACTGAGTATTGCTTTTGACCTTTGAGAATTTAATATCTAATAAATCTAGAATTAAAATAGAATATTTTGGTTGGAAGGGACCTACAAAAATCATCCAGTCCAACACCACAATCTAGTCCAAATCCTGAGAAATGTTAAAGTTCAACCATGCAATATATTATGAAATTCATAATGAGAAATTATTTTATTATCAAGTTGACATTCAAACACATAAGTATGCCTGTTACATATTTTTTTCTAAGGAAACCTGTATGATAGTTGCTGATAGTTCAAGAAAATAAATGAGCAGTCTCTTCAAAGAGCTGTATTTTGTTTTCCTGTAAGGTATGAGGATGTAAATGGGTGAATAAGCAATATAAATAAGTTTATATTTCAAGAGCCTTTTGACTTAACAGTCTCTGAAAAATTAAGAGACAGTTGTCTCATAAGCTTGCCAAATAAGCAGAGAAAACCACCTTAAATCTTCTTTTTAAATGGGAAAATACTCTCCTAAGTAAGTTATGTAATGTCCAGCTCTGATGTGTCCTATTAGTCTGACATTTTTGAAGTTCTCAGTAGACAGTGCATTGGCTTATTCTGTTCTTTTTTCCCCCCCAGATTATTTGGAAATACCTGTGATGACTCAATGTAACTACCAGCTATTCTTTAGGGCTCTGTTCAGCACTATTCACTTTCCCAATGGAGGAATCCTTAAGGCCTCTGTCAGGACACCACCCAAAGGTGTTCATGAACATCTGTAAAGATCCCTTAACATTGGGAAGATATACATTCAGTGAATCCAGTCATGATAATAAGCATTAACCATAGTACTAAGCATTGTGCAGGATCATGGCCTCATGTTTTAATATGCTTAAGACAGATGATATATAATTATTATGAAGAAAGGTCTCTGTTTCATTTCATCTAATGGCAGGGTGTTTTTTGCTTTGTTTTTATGGCTTGGTGTTTTGTTTTTCCTTCAGCTGAACTCTTCCTGGAACTGCAGCATCTCAAAGAAGCAGGCTTTTGTACCCAGGAGGCAGCTAGTCTTTTCCCCACATCTCATGCTGTACTGTACATGCGTGGGAGGCTTGCAGAGATGAAAGGCAATTTGGAGGAGGCTAAGCAATTGTATGATGAAGCACTCACAGTGAATCCAGCTGGAGTGGAAATTATGCACAGCCTGGTGAGTTTGCAGGGGCTCAGCTCCATTATAGTATTTATGTTCCTGATTAACTGTAATAAGAAGGGAGAGGGCTCATGCTTGCTCTGAATGACATTGTCTTGCTAATCCTGAGAGCAAGTGACTGTTCCAAGAATAAATTGGGTAGTTTGAACCTCTATTTTAAGACTGCATTGAATATTTTTAACTAATTAGGACTTGTGTCAAAAGTAAATATTTTAATTGACAAAGGCTGATACTTTTGGAAGTCAGATCACTGCTTTGTCTTTGCTGCTTTTCTTACTAACTGTCACACACCTTAAATAAGCAGTTTATTTAAGTTTTATTTTACGCTGATATTTGAAAGATCTGATCTAAATAACTAAAGATACATACATACATACATACATACATACATACCTACAGGCTTTGTAAAACTTGGGCTGGTTTGTTGTATCTGCTAAAATCAGGATAAGCTATGAGTTTACATAAAATGAGTCTGTTACTGTCATAAGCTGCAGCTTAATTCCAGCCTTGTGTAGGGGCAGTGACTCCACATTTGTGGGGTTTTTTTTTTGGTAACACTGCTACCTAGCAAGTATTCTTTTCCTGTGGCACCAAGCCCAAAACAGTTTTCCAGACACAGGGCCTAGAGCTTAATAACAATAATTATTATTCAAGGAGCTTTATGGAAGACCAAAACCCACTTCTCTTGTGAAATCAGAACAGTTAATCATATTTGATCCATGGTGCGTCTTGTTAACTGTAGCCTTTACCAGGTCTCTCAGGGATTTCAGAAGTTTGTCTTGACTAACTTAATTTTTACAGGAATTCTATATACATGTGACTGCTTAGTGTCTTTGCTAGCATATTTGTATCTCCTGGCATTAATTTGATTTTGGTGAGGTTTGCTGGCAACTCCAAAACTGCAGGGTTATCAGTCTGCAAGAGATCAAATGTTAACTGAAGTTATAATTGGAGAAAATAATAGAACCTACAGGCAAAGGGCAAGATACTTGGTAATAATAAATGTTCAGTACAAAAATAGCAAATGAATAGCTGGTGCATGTCAGGAGAATGTTGCAAGACTGCTGTACTCATTAGGCTTATATGGGGAAAAAATATTGCTTTGTTGTTGTAATGCAGCCTTTACAAATTCACTCAGTAAAAACCTAGTTAGATGAAATTATGTTCTTTGCTCTGCCATAATTTAAGAGAAGTTGCTGATACAGGAGAAATCATTAAATTAGATGCCAACATGATACTAATAGCTCTGATTTTTGTCTTATTTTATGGACATAACCACATTCTGTGTCTTCACATTACAGTTGCTTGTAATTTTCTGAAACTATAGTAACTTGGAATTTTCCAAGTTTCCAAGGTGCACATCTCAGATGTTCTGGCCCAGTTTACTTCAGAAAATTTCATCCCAACATGGCTTTGCTGTTTCTGAAAAGGAGGCTAAGAAGAGACCTTAAAAGCTTATGCAATATCTTCTTTACTGTGCCTTGGTGTCTCCAGGTTTTGTCAGAAATGAGCAACATGTAAGAAAATGAGAAAATCTTTCCTAGGTTATCCAAGTTGTAACCTTTAAAAACACATATATGCTTAGTAGGTAAGTATTTCTGAAAGTTTTAAGGAGTCTGTGAATGCTTATTCCCCTCAAACTCCAGTGAATTTTCAGGAAGGTCTAGAGGAATAACGCTTGTAACTACAGGCCTGTCAGTCTCACTTCTGTGACTGGTAAAATTATAGACGTTATTCTGGGAGGTATTGAAAAACACCTGAAGGACAGTGCAGTCATTAGTCACAGCCACCGTGGATTCATGAGGGCACCTGTCCTGGGGCCAGTCTGGGTATACCTACAGCGTGGAGCATAAGAGGCTGGAAAGCTGCTTTCATGGAAAGGGACCTGGGGGTCCTGGTCAGTGACAAGGTGAATGTGAGTCAGCAGTGCTCTGGCAGCCAGGAGGGCCAGCCCTGTCCTGGGGGGCATCTGGCAGAGCGTGGCCAGCTGGGAAAGGGAGAGGATTGTCCTGCTCAGCTCTGCACTGGGGCGGCCTCAGCTCCAAGGCTGGAGGTAGTTCTGGGTGCCACAGTATAAGGAGGACGTTAAACTGTTAGAGAGTGTCCAAAGGAGGACAACCAAGACATTGAAGGATCTTGAAGGGAAGCCATATGAGGAACAGCTGAAGTCACTTGGTCTGTTCAGCCCAGAGAAGAGGAGACTGAGGACAGACCTCAGTACAGTTACAACTTCCTTATGAGCAGAAGAAGAGGGGCAGGCACTGATTTCTTCTCTGTGGTGACCAGTGGCAGGACCTGAGGAAATGGCCTGAAGTTGTGTCAGGGAGGGTTAGGTTGGATATTAGGTAAAGATTCTTCACCCAGAGGATGGTTGGTGTAGTGGTTCCAGTTTGAATACTGGGCAGAAACACCAATTTCGTGTAGTGGTTTAGATTCGCCAATTTGAGTTTCCTGGCCAATGCACCAAAGAATATGGTGGGTTTAGTGCTGGCTAAAAATCACCAGTGTACTTACTCATTTCTTGCTGTGAGATACAGATCAGGAGAAGGGCAAAACAGGATCAAAACTTGAAAGGTATAAATAAACTTTATTAACAGAGCTGCAAGAATAAGAAGAACCAGAGTAAAACTTCCAGAACACTTTTCCTCCCCTTGCCCAACTTCTTTCCTTTCCCAGCTGATCACGCAGAGACAAAACCTGGGATGTTAAAGCAGTACCAACTATAAAATAGTCTTTCATGAGTTCTTGTAGGGAGTGGAGTGTTCTCTTGCCATGCCATGGAGACTACTCCACAAGAAGCAGTTCTCTCATGGCTTTTCATTCCCATGATTAGCAGCTGCCTGGGATAAGTTCTGCAATTGTGAAATCCCTCCCATTTTCACGGCCCTGCTACAGGTGTGTCCATGGGCCATGAACTCATGGGGGTATTATTTTAAGGATGAGCTGTTCAAAGGCAAAGGTGCTCTTCATCTGTCCCTGTGATCATCTCAGGGAACAGAGGTTTTCTTCTTCTCTTCCTGGGGGCAAAGGGTCTTCATCACTGTCATCTTTCCCTCTCTCTGTTCAAACTTCTCATGGGATCAGAGCTACTCCAGCATCTGCTTGGCTTCATCAGTGGATGCCTCTGCTCACATCTACAGTTTGAATACTTCATCCCCCCATATTCCCTCATGAATTAAAGGGGATATTTGAATGTATCATTGTCCATCTCCATGGCCCATGACCAAAAGAGCTCTCAGCCCCATTAGGGCATCTCCTCATTCTCCTTCCATCTGAAGTTTGACTCCATCTTTACTCACCTTGGTGTCTTCATGTTGTCTTTCTACGTGTTGTCACTCTTTTTCTCTCCCTGGAGAGAGGATCAAGGTCTGCAGGTCTCATCTGTGTTAATAAGGGTTAATATCTTGCCCAGTGGCTGCAGCAGTCACGGTGATGGATTTCAGGCCACGGTGGGCTCCTACTGGGGTAGGGAGGATGGGACAGCCTGGAGCCATTCCCAGGGCCTGGTGGACCCCACTCGACTGGGGGGTGGGGGG